GCACAGAAAAGGAATTAAAGGTACTAAATTTTTTGAAACAGCATTCATAGAAAAACTGTTGTCCAATGTCCATGGATATTAACAGCTTTTTCAATTCAAATATTAGTCATTGCGCTCACAATTGTGTGTGTGGCCAACTTCATCTTGGTTTGCTATATCACAAACACAATTGTAGTTGTGTGTGCCATTTTTCACAGAGCCAGTGAATTATGCTGATTCATTATCGCACACAGTTATTGGGGACGCTCACAAGCACGAGGCCATATTAGAAGGAGACATGCGTTTTCTACTGAATTTATTGAAATCTTATTTGTGCACAAACAAAGTAATATAAATAAAAGGTGAGTTTTCGAAATATTTGCTGCCACATTCAAAACATCCAAAACGTGAAAAAACCCTTGATTTTGGTGAAAAATAATAGTTAGTTCGTGATTGTACACGACGCAAAAAATGTTAAAAACGTAAATGAAACATGGATTTTGTGCAATAAAATTAGGATCAAAGTTCATTTTTTCTACTTTTAAAACGTAATAATTATAGAAATCATCAAGTTTTCGTGCTTTTTCTGTTCAAAATTTATGTTTGTATTCATAGTATTCCTTTCCTTCACTCATTGCATGTGTGTGGACACATATTTCTGAGAAATTCGATGACGTCATTACATGACTGTGTATATTTTGACATTTCATGCTTGGCGTCATTGGTTACGTAGCACTAATGAATTTGTTCTCTTTTTGTGTGATTTATGATAGCTACAGTCACAATGAATCCGTATCAGAGCAAAGGAACCTGTTGTGGAAAGATGAAGCGCAAATGTAAGTGCAAACGATCAGCCACAAAAATCACCGTCAAGCAAGAAGTTGTGGTCAAAGAAGAACCCACGGATGGCGGTGAATTGCTTCATTATCCGGTACCACCATCGCCAATTGAAACAAACGCCTCAATCAAATCAGAGAGCGAAAGTGACAGCGAAATCGATTCGGTGAAGAAGGAAATTAAGTGTGAAGATGAATGTTTGACAAAAAAAGACGACAAGCTACAAGGGGGATGCATGAAGGATGTAGCAGATAATGACGAATCATTTGGTGGGAACGGAAGCGGACCAAGACCAAAATTGAACAGCAAAGGAACAAATCGGAAACAAAAGGATGATGGCAAGATGAAAAACGGCTCAAAAAAAGATCGCAAAGGGAAAGTATTGAAGAAACAAATGGCAAGTGCACAGAAGAAACACAAATGTCATTTGTGCAAATATGCTCCATCAAACAAATTTCATTTAACAGGTCAAATTCGAACCCACACTGGCGAAAAGCCATTTGAATGTGAAACATGTGCTCAATTGTTCAAAGTGTCGCCGTGGATTTACAAAGGAAACAAAAAAGATCAACCATGAACGTGGCTGCACAGTTCATCAGTACGCTTGCTACCTATGCGGAACTGCTATTAAGTGCATGTCAAGTCTAAAGCAACACATGCGACACATCCACAGTGGCGTTAAGTCATTCGCATGCCATGTTTGTTCTAGAGCATTTGCAAGAAAATGTGGTCTAAAACAGCATTTACGTACTCATGTCAAACAACTGCCGTTTGCCTGCCCCAAATGTTGTCAACGTTTCGGTGAAGAAAATGAAAAACAATTGCATGAGGATTGCTGCAAATGTCGACGATACGAATGCTATATCTGTCCATATAAATGTTTTGACAAAAGCCAAACGAAAAAACATATGCAAGGAGAACACTGGGGCCAAAAACCACTCCGATGTGGTGTTTGTGAAAAGAAATTCTGTCTAAAAGGCAATCTTAAGAAACATTTGGCTACACATGCCAAACAACGTCCGTTGCGTTGTGCCAAATGCTATCGACCATTTTCCCAAGACGGCGATAAGAAAGCTCACGAAGAACAGTGCAATCGTCGCTTAAATCAGTGCTACTTGTGTAAAGAAGCAAAGCAAGATTCACAGAAATTAAAGCGGCACATGCGAAGCTATCATACTGGGGAAAGACCATACCCATGTGAAGTATGCGTTGCACGTTTTTTTATGCAATCAGATGCTAATAAGCATATAAAAACCATTCATCGTCAGACGGAGTAACCAAATACTCATCAAAAAGCATTTCGATCATCTTACAATTTATTCGTCAAAATTGTCCTCATATCTTTAAAGAAATGTGAATAAACAAAGAAAAACTTAACCGAAACTGTTTTATTTTGAGAAAAAACCTAAAATCATTTAAATTAAAAAAAACTAAATCTAAATCACTTTATTTCCATGAGATGTTTATAAAAACCTAACTGCATTCATTACTCTGTGCAAAATTTCTTTTCATAACTTTTCATGGCGATATCTTTGATATATTTTGAGTTTTCAGATCCGGTTTCATGGACTAGTTTTGTCAGAAATCCATTTTCATTTTGAAGTAAACAATGTGCATGATCGAATTCAACGGCTTGGCCAGCATCCATAACAAGAATTCGATCGCTATCCATAATTGTATGAAGTCGATGCGCTATTGTCACAACAGTACAACCACCAAAGCGTTCTCGGATTATTTTCTGCAGTAAACTATCAGTTGCATTGTCAAGACATGCAGTAGCCTCGTCCAATATCAAAATGTTATTGTTTCTCAAAAGTGCACGGGCCAAACAGATCAATGCTCGTTGCCCAGCACTGAAATTACATTCATTATCCTGAACTTTGGTATCCAATCCTTTTGACAATGCTGAGATGATGCTCTTCAAATCAATCTGGAATGAAGGAGAATTATGGTAAGAATATTCTAGTAGACATGCAATTGAGGTTTCAAATCAACCTGATCAAGAACTCCCCAAAGCTCGTCATCTGAATGTTGATTGAATGGGTCCAAATTATCTCGTATCGTGCCGGAGAACAGTGTCACATCTTGTGGTATTATTGAGAGTTTCGAACGCAATGTATGCAATGGAATTTTTGAAATGTCCACCGAATCTATGCTGACCACACCCGTACTGTGCGCCATCCGGAATAGAGCTTTTATAATGGAACTTTTGCCAGCACCTAGAAAATTTGTTTATTTCATTCTCTTTTTGTTAAAATTATTTTAAAGGAGAAGCTGCCTTTCTTTCACATAAACACTGTCCAACAAATAACGAGAGTTCAAATTTAAAAAAAAGTCTTACCAGTTCGACCGCAAACGGCAATTCTTTCCCCGGAATTAATTTTCAAGCTTAAGTTGTTCAGCATTCGATTGCCTTTTTCCGAGTACTTCAGCGATACATTGGAAAATTCAATTGAACCATTTTCTGGCCAATTTTCATGAACCTTTGCTTCACTGACTGTCTCATCTTCAGCTTTTAAATCGGTGTATTCTTTGATTCGTTCAAATGAAGTCATAATATTCTCCAATTCAGCCGACTGTCGAACACCCCATTGACCCAGAGGTATTAAGCTCATTATTTGTGTGATCGCCAATCCAACATTTCCACCACTTATTTCTGAAATATTTATCGCAATCGGTTAATTGTTATTCCTAAATTTCCAAAAATAAAAATAATATTCAAAGAAACGACTCACCCTTTTCAAAAACCAGAAATATCACGATGGCAATCGTCATATATAAGACACAAAGAAGTTCCAACCAGAAAGTGATCGCCTGTGTTGATGCTTTGTAAATAAAACAGACACTAGTATTGTGATCTTGCAGTGAATTGAATTCGGTGACCAAAGTACGTTCGGAATTTGTTGCGTGGATTGTATTCAAACCATGGATTGTCGAATTTGTGTGGCTGATTATTGCACTTCTCCCTATATACGAGTTAAAATAAAAGAAGATTAGGTATGTTGCTTTTTTAATTGAAGCAAATTAAGGTGTGACAGAGGCCAGAAGTGACTTTTCTCGTTGACAAAAGACAAATTTTTCACATTTTTGGAACAATACATAAATTTTTGCAAATCGGAACCAAAATTTTTAAGGATGTTTTAACCTAGGTTTTAACGACTTCTGAAATCAAGAATCGGAGAAAAGAACCACAACTCAAATTTTCCAAGGTTCCGATTTGCAAAAAATAGATTTATATTGGAAATTCGAACTCTCTACGCATAAAAATCACTTTTTCTGTCACTCGTGAAAAAAGCATTAAACGTTTTTACCAAGAGCATCAATGCGCCGCAAACACCGAGCCGATGATACGTAGATATGGCGTATTGCATAGAATATAAAACTCAGTACTAATGTTACCACCACCAGCCAAATATTTGTCATTGACACCAGAATCAGTGACATTGTGCATTGCAGAAAGAACTGAAAATGAGAATTAGAATAAAAACATGAAAATTTTAATTGATCAGTTCAAGAGTATGCGATGGACCCAGATTTAAAATCTGAAACTCACCACCATCAAATCATATAAAGTCGTTGCTATGTAGTAGTCTATATCGTAAAGATCTTTAGAAAATCGATTGATGATGCGCCCGGAAGAGTTCACATTGAAGAAATACATTTGGGCTTGAATAACACCATTTAACATTTTCTCATGGATTCGACGCGATGCTTTCAAACAAAACATATAAAGAATAATCGCTCTTTGAAATACCAAATATAGAACGATTATGCTTAATAATGCATAAACGTAAACATATTTTGCGCGGTCAGTTGTGATGGACTCATTGGAGAATGTGTTGGTCACATTAGATGAAGTAACATTTTCACCAGTCAGATCGATTTCCCAGTTTACCCTGATGTTGAAGAAAGTAGAAAAATTAACTTTTGTGTTTGAAAAAGTGGAGAATAAAGAGAAAGAGACAGCGCGTGATCCCAAATATACTCCCTCTTACCACTTCGAGACCAAAAAATCGATGGCACTGATTGAAATTTGGCCAATGATAAACAGAAGCATAACAACAGTCAATAGAATTGGGCTTTCCGGAGACTGTAAATATGATTTGTATATGCTGGCGCTGACGGCTCCTGTTGATTGATGTTCTTTCCGACACTGTAGCTGATGGGCATATGCTTTTTTCATGTTTGATGAATTTTTGCTCTGAAACCAAACCAATTGATTGAGTATCAAAGAAACCACATTTCTCCTCTTATTTTATCTGAATTACCTCATCCAAAATCTTTGTCTTCCATTCTGTCTTCATTCGGTTCTTTTCATTTGCATCAACCGCATATTTTTCTTGAAATTTAATTTTGCCGTCGTTCATAAAAATGGCTCGATTCGATGCTTTTATAAATTGTTCCTGATGTGTGATCAGAATGCAAATTTTATCTCGTAAAAATCCTTTGATACAATGATAAAAGATGTGTTTTGCCACGGCAGCATCAATCGCTGACAAAGGATCGTCCAGTAAATAAATGTCGGCATGTCGATAAATGGCCCTGGCCAAAGAGATTCGTGCCTTTTGCCCGCCACTCAAGCACGTCCCCGACTCGCCCACCATTGTTAAATCGCCGGCGCTCAGTAGTTGCAAATCTTTTTCCAGACCACACACACGAATCACTTCATGGTATCGTTCTCGATTGTACGGTTCCGTAAATAAGATATTTTGACGTAGAGTTTCATCAAAGAGCCAAGGTTCTTGCGACGCATAGCTAACAACTCCGTTAACCGTCAGTTCACCGTTGTTAATTTCAAGTTCCCGTAGAATGACATGCAAAATCGTCGACTTTCCCGTGGCAGCCGGACCGGTGACGGTGACCAATTCATTTGAATCTATTTGAAAATTGATATCTTTTATGCCTGATTGATTTTCAACACACCATTCAGCGGTTACATTTTTAAACGAAACACACTTGTTTTGAGCACTTTCACTGAAATTCACAATTTTTCGTAAGAATGTTTTCGGTGAAAATATTTTGTTATCCGGACAATAACCGAAATTTATTCCATCGTTTTTCATTGGTTTTCCTTCCGGCAGAAGTAGAAATTCTTCAATACGTTTCATTGAGACGAAACATTCGGCAAGTGAGGTTGTGGCCACTGTCCATGAGTACAGCATCGAATCGTACAAAAAGTTGAAGCATGTTGTCACCACAAACACTTGACGCGGTGTGAAAACATTGCCAAAGAAAACAAACGATGCCAGTGTCAGGAAGATCGATAAGCGTGAAATGATGGAAAAACTACAGAGAATCCCACGAATAATGAAGATCGAACGAATCGCATGCAACTCTTTTCTAAAAGTTGAAAAAATGGAAGGGGAGAATGATTGATCAGTTCAATCTTTGAAAATTCAATTTGAATAATTGTAAAAATTAAGTTTAAGACGTCTTTGACAAAAAATGGTTTTACTAAAATCTTGCCCACGCTCATATCCATAGAAATGTCTGTAAGCGAGACCACAAGGCTAGATGTTCCATTCTAAACCAATCAAATAAATGTAATGTATGGTAATTTTTGAAGAAATATCCTCCTCAACGTTATACTCACTTTCGGATCGCTTCGATCAGGTTGACAAACGGCAATTCGCAGGCATACATTTTAATCGACTGAATGCCCTGAATGATTTCGTTTAAAAGAGAAATACGTGAATCACTTTGCTTCACAAAGTGATAACGGTATTTGGCCGTCATTTTTCCCATGGTGGCTGTTAAGGTGATTAGATAAAGCGTCAAATTTGTTTATCCATATTGAATTTCAAAATAGTTAAGATAATATGTTGGTTTTGCTCACTTTGAAATGGTATCAAGCACAAAATGAAAACGATCCCAATCAAACCGTAGTATCCAATTTCTTTGTAGAGCAAAAACCCAAAGAGAATAACTTCAATCGGCCCCTTCCACAGATGATGCAGCAACGACAGTGCATTGTCAAATCGATATGTGTCGAATGCCAGTAAATTGATTATTTTCCCATTTAAATGACTGATTGACGATGATTTTCTCATTTTAATGGCCTGCAGAATGGAAATGAAATATTTATGTTATCCCAATGGTTTGTTATCATCACCGCTATAGCTAACATCTATTTTTATCTCCACGATTTCTTATCTAGTCGTTGATTAATTCGATTTAAAGTTACTTATGCAAATTGCAAATATCTTGAATTTTTAAAATACTATTTTCACGGTGTATTTACCTTATTATAAATCATGGATGCGAAGGCGACACGCATTTGCATTCCCTTTTGAAATGCGTACATTTGAAATGGATTTGTGAGTGAGCTCGATATAAATGCGCACATGATCAGTACACATGCATACCATATTGCCATTGTGTTTGGATGATCGTTTTCATCGGAAAAGTGAGTCACCAAACCTCCGAGACAAAATGACTGCGTGATTCTGTTGGGGGAAGATAATACGTTATTTTGTTAACAAACAACATAATTATGTTTTTTTTAATGAATTATGCATGAAGCTGACATTGAAAACCTCATCTCTGCTCCATGTTTATGATTATTTTGCTAAACGAGAGCAGAAGGTAAAATCGAAAAGATTTTCATTCTCAGCTCCAATAATTTGATTCGCACCTTAAAAAAATATCAACCAGTGAGTAAATAAAACTAAAGCCAATGATTTTTGACACGCATAATTTCCAGATGATGTGTTTGATTCGTGGATTTTTTTTGCCATGATTTTTCTCCTCTTCCCAGCATTCATTGAACTTTTGCGTTAGTTTAACAGAGTCATTTGCATGTAAATTTTTGTAAATGTCGCTTGCAACAAGCGGTTTGTGTAATCCCAATTTGAATAAATCCGTTAACCACCTGAAAAAATTAATCTTTTAAAATTGTTGATATTAATAGTAGCTATATGCCCTAGTTTTCGAGCCTAGGTTCAAAAAGTATATAAAAAGTAACCGAAAATGGTTCGTTGCAAAGGGCATCAAATGTCCAGACCAAAAATCTATTCATTTGCATTCATCAAATCAAAATCCCCAAAATATTACCAAAACGACCATCGCTTAAGAATCGATGCATTTTCATACGGATGCTCAGCACTTCCAATTTTTTCATCAATCACGTTCATTTCTTTCACACTTTGAAACAAAATTTCGATTTCTTTCAAAATTTCCTATTTTTTCCTTCAAATTCGATTTTGCTCCAACTTTTTTTCGAGTCTATGTTTTATCTTTTAGTTTTGAATACGTATAAAAGTCTTTCAGGCCAAGCACCTCATATTTATATCATCCGAAAGAGAAACAAATTATTTTGTTATGATCACCAGTGGAGTGGAGTAAACAGTAAACAAAAGATGTTATTAAGATAAAAATAAGCAACATACGCAGTGATATCTTGTTTTAATGTCATATTACATAAGTTCTTTGCGTCTTAGTGATTCCACGCGCATTTGATTTACAATTCAAAAAGTGTATCTTTTTCCACTCTAAATTGTTAGAAGTAAAATCCAATAAACAACGAGAGCATAATTTCGTAAGAATTGCGCACAAACATTTATTGTTATATTGAATAGATCTGGAGCAAATTACGTGGAATTCTTTGAAGCGAATAAATATTTACGACGGAAAAACTTGATTTGATGCTTTCACGTCATAAAAATGACTGTTTTGCGTATTTATTTATTTATTTACAAGCTTGAACAATCAAAAGCCACAATGAGCAGCTTTATTCTAGAAATAACTCGGCGCATGTTTTCGAATGGAAATGTATTCGAAAATTCCGAACAATAATAACAATTGCAAGGTCAGCCAAGTTTCCATTGAGTAAGGTGTGTACATTTTTGTAAACAGAGTCTTCCACTCTTATATAAGATATCTGGCTTGTAGAGAGAAATCGATAAAAATTCATCCACCCTAATCGGAGCATTTGTGTTTTCATGTTAATTTTGATCGACAGATTGGATAGCTGAGCTGCTCTGAATGACACTCGATTTATATGTTTTCATTGAAACTTTTCAATACCGTTTTCAATGATCCAATTCAATTTACGGCCTTTCAAATATTACCTTTGACACACGTCTTTGCCACTTCTTTTCAAGATCTTTTGGGGATCTACTCATGCCAAGGCTAAACATCTTAATAATCAAAACGCGAAGCATCAAAAATTCATATAACAATTCCAGATAATTCGCGTCTGTTTAATGCTCCGTCATAACGATTTACAATGTCAATGTTTCGTAAAACGGTAATATCATTTTTGCGTTGAGAAAATTCATTTGCCGTATAAAATAGATTATGTCAAAATTCATTGTTTTTATGGGCAATGTTGTTAATTGGTCGAATGCACTGTTTTGCTACGTTGACAACGGAAATTCGATTTCCTGCATTACAAGACCCGATAACGGTTCGTTGATGTTGAAGGAAAAATGAATCCACGTCGAAAAAGCCATTTTCATATTTCATGAGCCTAATGAAATAAAGACGCTTTTGTACAAAAGCATATTTTAATGTTGTTATCTCATTCACTTCCGTCACAGCATCGTTATAGTTGCTGTCATTGTCGTTTGTCTTTCGATGGTATAATGCACATTATGATACCAATTAAACATATATCTACCTGAATGCAAATGCTGAACGACATAAAGCGAACACGAAAGAGACAGGCCCATTTTAATGACTTTGAAATTGATTTTTATCGTCATACATCAAACAAGTCGCATACGATTCCGTCGATGACGTGAACTGATGCCGTTGAATTCATATCAAAGTAAAGAACGGCAAGACTTACCCATCGGCTTGAAATTGAACGACTGTTCTTATTATGAATGAAATACACGTCACATTCCCTATCCCTCTCTCCCTCTCGCTCTGGCTCTTGGGCTTGTATCGTTCCTTCGATGATGATAATGATATTGTATGAATCTGATGCTCAAGCTGAAAGGAAACTAAAGAAAACTTAATTACATGCAAACCGGATTCATGTGTGTTGAAGATGTGCGAAGCGATGCGGTAACAGTTGCATTTTGCTTGAACAAATCTTGCAGTACATAGATTTCCACTTGGTTTCTGTGTTTATATGGAAATATCGTTAATTATCCTATGATTTATGATGTCGCACTGCTTTAGTCGAACGTTACGCTACACTGAATCGAATGCCAATCTATCTCACCCTCTCATTCGTCTCCGTTTTCCTCTCTCGATGATGCAGGCAAAGCCCATTATTACATATTATTATATAATCACCGGGGGAATAAATTTAATTTTCTGCATTACATTTTGCTCGGTACCTTGACGATGTACAACGTACATGTGCTGGCAAAGCGACAGAGCTCAAAATAGACAAATATAGAAGATACTGAACTAGAAAGGAAGTTAGAAGGAACGTGATAGCAAGAGCCAAAGAAGGGGAAAGAGAGAGTAAATATGATGCCCATAACATACTTTGTATCATATGATTTGGAAGCGAAGCATTTTGAAACATGTTCAAGCATTCAACTGTGTCCGCACACATATATACTCCATCGCCCATTCCGTTGTCGACTCAAACGCGCATTAAATTCTACAAACCAATTATATTGAATTAAATATTTTTACCTTTTTGCCAACGAAAATGGCAAACTTTTTCCGCGCACAGACCAAAAATTAATTTTCACATGCAGCAGAGAAAAATTGAGTGCGCCAGAAATAAAAGCCAACAGAATAATATCATGCATTTTCACCATACAAAATCAGGAAACATTGTAATTTTCATTTATAATCACATAACTATTTTATGTATGCGCAATGCCAATTTTTTTTGTTCGAATTCTCTCTGGCAATACGAGGACATGCACTTTGTGAAACGCTTTGGACGACAATTAAACTCAATGATGCGGAAATTTTTAATTTCAGCGATAATTTGCGAAGGTGGCCTTTTAGTTTCGGTCAATAAAGTTTTCCTACCGACACGCAAATATTTACAGAGAGACTTTTACTCTGTCCCTTTCTCTCCCTCTTTCTCTAGCTCTATCCCTCTCTTTCTCACTATTAGTCAGCGAGAGGGATTAAAAAGCGATGAAAACGGAAGGGTGCGAGACGGAACTTGACCAAAAATCACATGGTGGGCAGAAAACTTTTTAACGACTCACTTTTCAAATATTTAATTTTTCAAAAAAAGACCTGAACACAAACTGTTGCATTAATTGGTTTTATAGCGTCCAATTTTAACAATGGCACCCATAATTAAAAATGATAATTTCAAAAATCTGTCACATTAGCACAAATAGTTTTATAGCCATTTTCATCCCACCTCCGCACCTCTGCTCAACATTTTCAGTTCTATTTACATGAGCTTAAATCATATTACGTGACATAAAACGATTTTCACTTGGATGTACAGTTGGAAAGCATAAAAGGAGTACTTGATTGGTGAATCATTGATAAAAACCCACCGTTTTGTCCAGCCTGAAATCAACTAAAGTGATCAATTTGGCTAGCATTTCGATTGACACCACTTGATTGGAAGGCACGATGTCTTTTGAGAAGTACAAATGTACGCCAATTGATATTGAATGGCGTTACAAATTTGCATCGGGTCATTTATCACGTGCTCAAATCAAATTGACATGTAATGCGCTAATAAAACAATCACAAAGTACCGAAAATATTCCATAATTTCCTGTTAGAAAAACCACTTCGACCAAAAAGAACGGAACAAGCAGGAAGAGAAAGAGAGAAGGGAGAGTAAGAGAGAGAGTTAAGTGAGGGGGCTGCGTTTCTGATGAGAATACGATATGTATGCCCAGTTTAATGTTGTGTAAACGTTCGTATGATGACAAAATAATACGAACCACTTCCGATTTCTGGGGCGAAAATTAAATCAGTGCCAACCATTGAAACGAGATATGTAAAGCATTTTGCCAAAATCTCTTTGTGTCGTGCCTCCCCCCATACTCTTCATATTCTCTGTTTCGATGAAGCAACATTATGCATGCTTTTGTCAATGACCCAGGGCACATTGTCTAAATGCCTTACGTTGACAATAAATCAACTGGACCGTGTGTTGGATGCGGTGATTGTTGTTGTTCTTGACTATTGTTTTTGTTGTGTCGGAAACACGAGCGCACACACACATTTCCTTATAACCAAAGTCGATGAAAATAAACACCTTTGTGTGTGTAGACGACGATATTTATTCCTGAAACTCCGTATCGCAATGACTAAAACGACACCGATAAGATTAATGATTTGGTGAACTGATGATGATGCTGTGTGCTGTGCTGGGATAGAGTCGTTTATTGTTCCGTCGACTCGCAATCCAAGTGTCAATTAAAATGACCAAAGCCATTCGATACCGTATAGCAGCAACGTCGCCGCCACTACAACTATTCGTAACCATAGGTATGTATTAGGGTGGAACATTTTTTGAATTTCGAGGCATATCTTGATGGCCACTTCAGAAAACATGTCTTATAGTCCCCAGATTCAAGATATGAAGGAATTTTCAACTTGCGGTTCCATATAAGACAGCGACTTGAAAGGAAAGGAGGTACATTTTACTGGAAAATCATGAAAAATTGCAAAGACCCATTCACCATGAAAACTTGTGAATCTTATTTTCTGACCAAAATAAGTAATATCACCAAGTTTCATGAAATTTCAACCAAAAATAAAGGTGCCTCCCATACAAAACTTTTATTTTTTTTCTCAAAAATAAAAAATCGAAAACCACATCTTTTCAATAATAATCTTACGACCACATACGATATTCTAACGGTCACCCACACGGTCCACCAGCCCGGGTCAGTAGATCGAATGAACACTCAGCCACCATCCCA